CCCGGAACTGCTCCTGAGTGAGAGGGAGATGACGATGGGCCTGTTTCCCACCACCACCACTAGTTGGAGGGGGAGGGGGTCCTCCTCCTCCTCCTTCTCCTCCTCCTCCTCCTCGTCGTCCTCCTCCTCCTCCTCCCCCTCCTCCTCCCCCTCCTCCTGCTCCTCCTCTTACAACTTATGGTGGTGGTGGTGGTGGTGGTGGTGGTGGAAGACAGGCCCATCATATGAAGCTGCACAACAATGAACTTTTGGGCCTTTGTTTGGGGGGCTGCGCGAAAGTTTCAAGCCTCGGCGTTGGGCCTCCCAGGCGGTGCCTCTGGCGCCACCGCGGGCGCTCCCAGAGCGCCCAAGCAATCCGCATTGCGCTCAGTTTTTTTTCTTCTTGTTCTTAATGTTCTTCTTCTTCGGTCAATACTTGGATCGCCGCGGGGGGGGGGGGCTAAGAGGATAGAGGGATACAAGTGGATGCTAAGGTGGGTTCTATCCAGCCTGACCCAGCTTGGGAGTGGGTTGCCCGCGCCCCAAGTGGTTTCAGGGCGCACAGATCTTGGCTAAGGGGGCGGAGCCCACTTAGCGGAGTTGCCTCACCATCCTAAGCCACGTAGGGCACTTGCAACCCAGTTACGAGTTGGGCTAGGCCAGCCAAAGCCCACTGTAGCATCCACTTCTAACCCCCCCATCCCCTCAGCAGCCACCGCGGCGATCCAAGTAGCCCTGCCAACGGTCCCGCTCCAGGGGGGCTCGTCCTCCTCCTCCTCCTCCTCCTCCTCCTCCTCCATGGACCCCACGAGAGACGCACGCACCCTGCCACGAACACGCACACGGCCCCCCCATCCGCGAGGCCAGCCTCGCGTTACGACGGCTCGCACAATGATGACACTTTTAAGCAATGATTATACTTTCGTTCGCTCATGATCCTCCCCATCTTCCTACTTTTAAACAATGGTTATAATTTCTTTCGCTCATGGTCCTCCTCATCCTCCTACATTTTTGCTTATAAGATTCCCTGATCCTCCACCTATTCGGGGGACGTCGGCTGACGACCTTACCTCACCGATGCTTCGCTCCGAGCCGAGCCTGGTCTAAGCAAGACCTGGGCAATATGTGTGAGGCGATCAGGTCACGTCTTCCATGCCTCATTTCTCGTGGACTGCCTCGCCATGAGGGGTGCGCTCATGACACACATTGCGAGTCATCCCAGGTCCTCTGGCTTCTTGCGCTCCTCGGGGGGCGGGTACTCGCGGATGCCCTTCAACTGCATGCTCTTGAACCTCCAGCCCTTCGGCTGTCTGCTTCCTACATGTTGTGTAGGCGTGCCTCCATATCCTGAAACGTGAACTCTCTCAGTCAAACGAACACAATCCTTCACATGGTCGGAATTGGGAACATCGAGTCCAACACGACTCATGAGGATGTCATACTCTTTCTTTGTGTATTACGCTCTGAAGGTTTGGGCCAAGATCAACTCGTACAGCTTTCACGCACACGCACGCACGCACGCACGCACGCACGCACGGACGCACACACACACACACACACCCACACACACACACACACTCTCTGCGGATGCGCATTACCGATATGTTGCGAACTGTTGCGACTATGAGTCCCCAGTCTCTCATACACCTGTGCGTGACAGGCCAGGTCACACAATCCGCCTTGGAGTTACTCCACATGTCGAACTGAGCCAGTATCGTGAATGAGAGTTCCGATCGTGAAGCTTCAGTGGCTCAGCGACTAGTCATCCACCCCTGTACCTCTGACTCGTTTGCAACTCTGTGGGTCACAGGGCGCGGGAGATTGGTCGACCAACGGTGAAGCATCGCCAAACATCGAAGTTTCGGGGTGTGAGTGGATAGCCAACCAACGAGAGGTGAGTGATTCAAGACGATAACAACCCTGCGGGGGGCGGTATGAGCTACATCAAGCAAGAAACACTCTCGCACGTGCATGCCAGCCTGCACTGTCCTCACCTCGCGTCGCACAACAGAGAGCCCCGAGAAGGCGAAGCGTTCTAACAGGGGACATGCCGACCCCAAGCCAAACTTTGGGATGTACGTGAGGGGGGGGTGGGGGGGCGTCCATCCTCGATAGGGGTGCGTCCGAATAGCCCCCCCTTAGGGTGTATCCCAGGGTTTCCCCCTTTCCTGAGCGGCCAACTTTTGGGGCGGAACTCGGGGGTTGGGGCCCAGGGGTGAAAAATCGCCTGGGACCTCACCTCGCGTCGCACGACAGAGTCCCAAGAGGGCGAAGCCCTCGTCCCGAGCCATCCATCCTTGAGACGCCACCGAGTGCTCAGCAATAAAAAGGCCCCTAGCCCTTTGGGAGGGAACTTAAATTGGAGGGCCAGAAACATGAAGGGTAGGGGGTCTTCTCTACAGGTGTATCGAACCAAACCGCCCATACGCATATTTATATATATACATAGAGATATAAGTAATCTTTACGGGGACCTAAGTTAGGCAACGCCTTCATCGCGTTATTAGGGAGGGAGGGTTCTCCTGTTCTAGCCGACCGAATGCTCATGATGCAGCGCGCAGCACTAAGAGCACGCGAACAACGGCAAGGCACGGCACTGCACGGCACGGCACTGCACAACACGGCACTGCTGGCGCCTGGCATGCTTGCGCACGGCACGGCACCGCGGCGCGCCAACCGGCACCGGCACGGCTCGGCGGAGACCTTCCCGCGGGCACGGTGGCCGAAGACGAAGCGCTCTCGGCTATGGCCGCTGCACTCACGACGCCGCGCCCCCGGCACTGCGCGCGTGACGTCGCTCAGCACAGCGCGCGCAGGGCACCATCGGCACAGCACTCCCGGAAGGCACGCACCGCACTCTCCACACACACACACACACACGCACGGCGCTCTCAGCTTTAGAAAAAAATCGGGCCGCGAGGAAGCATCCCTGGTCATCACGCTGACGCGCCCAATGCACTTCGCCAGATGTGGACAGTTTGGGTGCATTTCAGCTGCGGAGCTGTGGCGCACACAGTGCAGCTTCGGGGTGCGAAGACGTCCACGCCCACTTGCGGGTGCACAAGAAGACCATTCGCCCGGATCGATTCTCCCATAAACCAAACTGGAATCATGGAGTCCGAAACTTGTGGACGGACTTGAACTAACAACCACCCGCTCCCTCGCAACATGGCGCAACGGAGTCCCAACGCGAAGCGGCAACTCGTCACTGGCTATCGCCCTTCAACTGCGGCCTCCCTCCAAGAACATGTCGATGTGATGCTGCTCGAGCTTGGCGGGGCGGCTTTTGTCGGTGTAGGCGGAGCCTCCCCCCCGGCATTACGCACACGCGTGGCCTGGTCGCTTGGCCTTGACATCTGCCACCGTGCTGCAGGCAATGGGTGGGATGTCCTCCTGTCCCTTGGATGAGGACGCCCTATAACAAGCAAAGTGTTGAAAACGTCGTTCCGCCCAGAATGTGAAATAAATCTGAGAGACCCTAACTTCAACGAAAAGGCGAGGTGAACATGTGAAACCTTGCTGGGCAACAGAAACAAGAGTAACATCAAATGCGGCCATACTGTTCAGACCTTCTGTTAAAGTGTCCCACTGTTTGACAATATTTGCTTGTATGGTTTTCATACTCCAATTCCCCAGAATGCTTGCCAAGTCGCCGTGCTACTTGCATGTTGTTTACATGTTTGTCGCAGTGCCATTTACCACGGTACTTGTTTCATGGCCCCTTTGTTTCCATACATCCACTGTCTCCCCAATTAGTGCTTCGCGCGCCCCGCCCAGCTCTAACCGAAGAGGCCCGCTCTCGACCCGCCGACCAAAAACGTTTCCATACATCCACGCGTTCCCCGTCATTCGTTCTCCAAGAAGTGCTTGCACTTAGAGGGTTGCATTCGCCTTCGAAAAAGCTGGGCCCGTCTGCGGCCCCGGGCGGCCCGTTCCCGTCAGTCGCCGCCCCGTTGCTCCAAAGGAACAACCCGTCTGAGGGCCCAGCGGCCCCGTTCCTGTCCCTCGCCGCATCGCATCGCTTGCACCACATACACCACACCACATAGCTCAAACCACGTTATTTGCGCTAGCGCCACACAGCTTGCACCACGCAGATTGCACCACACAGCTTGCAAACTCAGCTTGGACACCATTGACCACGCACCACAGTCCCCACAGATCCGGAAAGAAACAGCTTGCCGTTTCAGGCCCACGCTGGTTATCATTTCCAGAGCAAACGCCTTGCTCACACTTGCTCATACTTCCAATGCTATGGGAAGCGCCCCTCGTACCAACAATGTTCTTCTTCATGGAAACTTTGACCATACTGAAATCCCCCACCGTCCGGCCAACGGTTTGCTTGCTTGGGGCGTCTTCACCGTGGGGCGAAAAGATCACAAACACTGCATACACAAGGACGTCCAAGGCGGCCCCGGAGGTCTCCGAAACCGCCCCAGGACGGCCCACGAGGCTCCCAGCACGAGGCCCAGAACGCCTCCAAGACGGCTCCAAGGGCTCTCACCAGGAGGTTCCCTGGAACCCTCGAGACTCCCCGACAGGGCCTCGAGCGAACGATGGGGGACCCCACAAAGACCTTGTTGAATGCCCATGTTCCCAAGGCTTATGGGTTTCCCAAAATTCGGAAGCGGGCTGTTTTCTTAACCTGTGGCATATTTACTTGCGCGGCGATACCCCCCACTCCGCCCTTCCGCAACCTTTCCCAACAACGTTGGGACGAAACGTGTGCCAGTGAGTCCAGACGAGCAAGGTTGCCTTTTATACACTCGGGCCTAAGACAGAATAACATCCTTCAAGGACATGAGACCCTCCGCCAGCCAAAACACACACAGAATATGCAGAGGGGTACCCTTCCCAGGGTGCACAAGAACATCCAACAAATGCGGGTAACACTCGGGTAATATCAGCGCGCGGTTAGCAACAACATGAGGCTCCTGCGATCAAGAGAATGCCCCTGCTCGGGCGAATCGCGGGGGTCGCGCCCGCCAAAGTGAAACACGCGGCGGCGCCGGTTATTCGCGCCAACGCCCGGCCGCCAACGACAGGAGCGGCGCGAACTGGGGGGGAGGCAGGCAAGGGCGGCAGAAGAAAGGGCCGCCGGCGCTTGTCTCTCCGTTTCGCACTCGAACGGAGGGCTCCCGTCGCCGCGGTCGAAGCGGGCCTCGAAGAAAACGGGCAGGACCAGCTCGGTCGGTTTTCGGCGCCGCCTGGGGCCCGGGACCCGAAAACGGGGAGAACCTGCCAGGGCCCACTTCCCGCAGGACGCGCGTCCACCGCGGCCGCTCCGCACCGATTCCAAAAAAGGCGGCCCAGCCAGGCGCAGAGCGAGGCTCAGCGCGCCCGAAAGGGGCGTCGGACAAATGCGCGTGACTGACGGGGCCCTGGGACGCGCAAGTGAATAAACACAAATCCCCGGATTCCCCATATGTTCTCATATTTCCATGGTTTTCTTCTTCCCCCTCCACTGCCAAGATGTTTGTACATTCTCGTGGAAGTCGACGTTTCATTTTGTCTGTGTGCTTTTCCCCCTCCTGAATACCGTCCCGAAGCACATGTTGTCCAAAACTGACAGCGGCCGCTGCTGGGCATGGATGCAAAACCGCTGTCGGTGTTTCTCCCCACGCGTGCCGTGCCCGTGCCGAAGGCACACGGAGGATGCCTTTGCCTGGCCATAGCCAGGGAGGCGCCAGCTGGCTCGCTGGCCCGCTGGCGCGGCGGGCAGGACGGGGGGCGGGGGGGGGGGGGAGCAACGGGGGGTCCAGCGAACCAGCTCACGCCATGAGCTGATGTTCCTGGCGTCTCCTGGCGCCGAAGGCGACTGTGCGTCGAGGCATGGGCCTCTGGCGCCGGAGGCGGAGGCATGGGTCCCTGGGCATTCTCCTGCTGCTCCTTCTGCGGCTCTTCCTCCTCCTCCTCCTCCTCCTCCTCCTCCTCCTCCTCCTGCTCCCCCTCCCCCTCATCCTCTCCTCCTCCTGCGCCACCTCATCCTCTCCTTCTCCTCCTCCTCCTCCTCCTCCTCCTCCTCCTCCTCCTCCTCCTCCTCCTCCTCGTTCATGCCGCTTGCCATCATCCCCGGCGCAGTGGTTCTCCGAGCTCTCCGAGCCCTGGCGCGCGCGATGAAGAGCATGCTTCGCGCCCCGCGAAGTCTATTCCTCAGCCCCCGGGGGGGGAGGGCCTCATTTGTAAACACAAGGTGGCATTGCCCTCCCCGCGCTGACCTCGATCTTAGACCTCGTAGCAAGGTGGTCTGCTCGTACACAGCGTTCCCAGACCCCCTCGCGTTGCGGAGCAATCGCGTCGGGAGGATTTTCGCTATTTTCAGCCTCCTGGGGTTCTCGCTGGGCCTCGGGACCGTCAACGAGCGGCTCAGGACGAAAAATTGCTCCAGGGGAATGGGGCCCGAGGAGCAAGGTAGTCTGCTCGTGTACAATTTCTTGGCTCAAGGCGCGAGCAAGGACCACACAAACCCCCCCTCGCGTGAAAAAAAATGCGACAAAAAGTGTTTCTCTATGTTCTGCGTCCGGGGCCTTCGCCGGACCTCGGGACCGTAAACAATCGGCTCGGGATGAACAAAAAACAGTCACGGGGAAAGGGTCGGGATTTCTGGGGATCCCAAACTGATGAAGCCAGGACGTCGCATGTCTGGAGTGCTTTGGCTCAGCCCACGCAGCGCTAGCCCCCCGTGGCTTTTTGCTGCAGAAGGTCCGTGGGATTGACGGGTGCATCGTGGAAGGCTGCATCCATCTTGGCCCGATTCGGTGCGGGCTCCACTTCCGAGGGCGCCCAACCTCGCATCCAACAGAGCGCAAAGCATGCGTACTACGTCTCCCTCGTGTGGCGCCTCTGGGCTGTGCTATTGGGCGCCCATATGGGCGCTGCTCGACGCTGCTCGCCGGCAGTGCACGTCCGAAGCAAGACGAGCGGACGCCTCGGTGCCGCAACACCTGCTGGATGGCCCCCTCAGGGGCGCAGAGCGGGACGGGCACGGGGGCGCGCTCTCCCAAACACAGCGCCGGCCGCGGCATGAGCTCAAGTTCTCCTTGAAACCACAACGCGCGTTATGTGGCTGGGTGGGTAGGTGGGCTCGCTGGCACATGGCATGGCACGTTGCGCGAGCACTGCGAGCAGCAGACCTGCGCGCTGAACAACAGGCGCTGCTGCAGCGGGGGTGGGTAAAACGGATGGCGTTGTGTTATCTACTGGGTGGGTGGGCGGGTTGGAGGCCACATTGCCCGCGTGACGTGCTCGAAACAATACAACAATTCAGCTCCACCGGCACCGCCTTGTCTGCAGCGTCGTGGGGCGCAGGCGCCCCTGCGGCCCGTCGCCAGGGAAACCAAGAGGTACCGATGTCGCGTCTCCCCGGACCTCTCCGGGGGGACGTTCTGACCAGGACTTCGAGGCGAATCCGGCGGTGGCGACGAGGGCCTTCCAGGAGGACCACAAAGGGGAACACAGGCGAGAGGTAGAGGCACGGGTACATGTCGCGGGCGGGCCAACTCTCGCTCGGCGCGCTGCCCTCGGGGCCATCGCTCGCGGCAATTGCGGGCTCTCGCTGACGGGCTCGCCGGCGGGGCCTCTATGCGCCAGGCCTCTCTCGGCCTCCGTGCTCCTCCTCCTCCCCAGGTGCCTGCCTTCAGGTCGGGCATGTCCCCCTGCAGGCGGATTTTAGACAGTAAATAAAGAAACAAGCAACGAAATGCCCCAGCAAAAATCAAAAATAGCAGACAAGTCGTCCCCAAACAATTGTTGAACAATGTTTATATATTCCTCCTGTGAAGGGACAGGCCCGACTTAAGCCTACCCCGCCCTGGCCCTCCGAGGAGGTGCAGCGTGAGGGGGGCCAGGGCGCCCTTGACGATGCAGGTGAGCGCCTTGTAGAAGTTGATGGGCGTGAGCGGACCTGGTCTCCGGCTCCCCATCCTACCTCCTCCCCGCCTCCCTCGCTCATCCCCTTCGCTGCACCTTCCCCGCGCCCTCCCCCGCTCCACATCCCAGTCCCTTTCCCATGCCCTCCACTCCTCTGGTCCCCTGTCCCCTCGTGCCAGCGGGCTGGCCATCGTCGTCTGACGGCATCGAGGGCAGCACCTACGGAACTGCTCCAAACTGGCCTCATTCGTTTGCGCGAGGAGGACGGGGAAGGCACCGAGGAGAAATCGAAAGGGGAGCAAGCTCGCCAAGAAAGGAAACATACGGCGAAGAGCAGCGAACGCTAAGATAAGACGCGTCAATATCTGAAATGCCCAAACAATCCTGCAATGGCCAAAAAACGCGCACACAGGACAGTGCGCGCGAGTGCGCGCGTGAGTAGTAAGACATGTTAAAGGCGCAGACCACGAATGGGCGCAGACGCACTCCGCATCGCCGTTGCATCGGCGATGCGGCGCAGCCCCTCGACCCCATCAGCTCAGACCCAATTTTGGCATGCCTAAAAATTGAGGCGGAGCAAAAGCAAACATGCTTCCGCTCCCGCCCGGCTCCCGAGACGCGGAGACGCTGCGGGAATCCGAGACTTGAGTCCGCAGCCGCTGCGGGCCATGAAAGGACAGGCAAATGATGTCACAGAGCAATCGCCCTCCGGCACAGAGGAACTCATTGTGCCACAAGCTTGATCAGTCGCCGCCTGTACAATCCCCTCTCTTATGTTGCATCCTCGCGGGACCATGTCTGTCCGGACCTATCCGCATCGAATCCGTGTCGAATCCATGTCTGACTCGTCGGATCCGCGTAGAATCCGTGTCGAATCCGCGTCGAGTCCACGCTAATTCCGCGTCGCGTCCGCATCGAGCCCGCGTCGGGCAAAAGCAAAGACACCAATTTTGGAGGACAGGCGAGGCCCCCCGAACATGCAACGTAGAATCCCCTCTCCAGCGCGACCGAAGTACACCGTCACCACCATGAAGGAGGCCGGCGGCACGACCCCCATGTGGCGGTCGAGCCAGAAGACCCCCTTGCCCATGTCTCTACCGTGCGCGCGAGTCAATTCGCTCAGGCGTGCATGTGCAGTCTCGCTTTTCGCTCACTGAGTCTCTCCGGTGGTAGCTCACGGGAGCCTCCCATACCATCTCCTCGGCTATTGGGAATCGACGCCGGTCGACGATATTTATATATATATATACATACATAGATCGACGCTCATCGACGCTAAATCGACGCGAATCGACGCTAGCCGACGCTACATCGGCGAAATCTCATCGAATCCAGACGCTGATCGACGCTAGTCGACGCTAAAGACGGAATTGAGAGGGTATACCAGGCTCCCATGATTAGCTGCCGAAAAACTCGCTCATGCTTGCATGTGCAGTCTCGCTCGTCGCTCGCTCACTCAGTCTCGCCTGTCGCCCACCAGCACAACTACAAGACATGGGGTGCTTGCGTGTCTTCCATACCAATCCGAGCATGTCCACAAGGTAATGGCAGTGCTCACGGAGCCGCTTTCGCAACGGTGGAAAACGCAAAATCTTACTCCAATCCCACAATCTGCTACGTGACAGTGTTGATGCCCGGTGCTAGGCAGGGAACCCCTGCGAAGGACAGAGCGCAAGGGGAAACGCGATGGGTCGGAGCCTGGGGGGTAAGGTTGGAGGCCTGGAAATGGGCACCAACACCAACATAGGGGCTTGCCTCCACAGGGGTAAGGTGATCCTAGATTTGGGTGTGGAAGTCAGACTATTACCACCATCACCGAGATCGGGATCGTCTTCCCTCGGTGGAGGCGCACCGCCGATATTGGTGTTGGTGTCAACCTCTGGCCCTGCGATAAAGAGCGAAGCAACCCCAGCCAGGAGAGCCGTTGCAGTTTCGATTCGTGCTGCACGTGCGGGCGAAGCGAAGCTGCGCGGGGGTCACGGCGCTTGCCATCGCTCGGACGTCCACTTGGCGCGTATTTACCGGCATCGTGTTTTTTTGTGCCGCTAGATGATCCGATATGCTCCTCGCTGGATTCCGCCGAGAAGAAGTGCACACGTCCGAGCGATGCCATGTCGGCGTAGCTACGAGCCGTCGAGCAGAACAAGCATCCATTCGTCTCGCGGTGACTCGCCGTCTCTGTCCAGTGGCTGTCCTGTGGGCTGTGGCTGTGCCGCGGGTTGCCTCGTAAGTGCCCTGTGAGTGTCCCGCGGCTGTCCCGTGTGTTATCCCGCAATTACTCCTTGGGTTGTCCCGTGGCCTTGGTTGTCCCACAATTGTCCCGTGGGTTGTCCCGTGGGTTGTCCCGTTGTTGTCCCACGGGTTCTCCCACGGGTTCTTCCGCGGGAAGTCCACATCGGAACGCTCATAGAAATGCACATCGAAATGCTAATCGAAACGCACATCGCAGCGCACTCGCGATGCACCTCGGAATGTAAATTTGAATGCAATTCGGAACGAGAACCGAAAAGCAAACGCAACCAACCCTTTGGACTAGATTGGTCTGGCGATATCGGTCTTTCCTCATCCAGAGCCCTCTTTCCTTCTGGGAGGTTTGCCTCCCACCCCTCCCTGAAGTGTTGTGGGGGTTCTCACGACGCGGCAGCGTCCACGATGGTCCGAGATGGCTCCAAGAGGACCTCTGATGCTCGCGATTGCCGGCGATGGCTCAAGACAGCTTCCAACATGCCTTCTGGAGGTCCGACGAGGGCCTCCAGACGGTTCCAAGTGCTCTCGGAGCTCGCTCAGAACCCCCCAGGAGGCCAAACGCACGCAACAGCCTGGGGCAGCTCGGTGATTGCTGCCCTCTCGTCGTTTCGCTTCCGATGCGCTGTTGGGGCCTCGGGGGGGGGGCCCAGGATGGCCCAAGAGAGGCCCAAGGGGGCCCCAGGAGGCTCCTCCAGACGGCCCCAAGGGCACTCAAGAGCGGCCCAGGAGCGCGAGGCGATGTCGATGGCCCCAGGTGGCACCAAACAGCAACACCCTCCCCCCTTTGGGCCGATGACCTCCGAGATGGCCCCAGGAGGCCCTTCAAGGGGCCCCCAAGGGCCACTCCAAGAGAGGCTCCACAAAAGGGCCCCAGGAGGGCACCAGGACCCCCCACAAGAACCCCAGCAGGACCCCAAGATCGCCAAAAAAGGACCCCAACAGGGCTCCAGAACGCGGTTTTGAAGACTCTGTTCTCGTCCTCGTTGTCCTCTTTCCCCTCGTCGTCCTCGTCCTCGTCCGTGCCCGCATCGTCTCCATATTATTGTCCTTCCTCTTCCTCGTCATCGTGGTCACCGTCGTCGTCCGTTTCCTCCTCCTCCTTCGCGTTCCTTCGCCCCCCCGCGGGCCCCAGGGATGGCCCGAAGCGGCCCTCCGAGGCCCCCCCCTTGCTCCCAGAGATCTCTCTGTTCATTCTGACTGCGCGCTTCGGTTCACTACCTGTGTCTCTTCCGCCCTGTCCCTGTCGGCTCTCACAGGAAACGTTTCTGAAGGGGCTTGTTGGAGATACTTTTTGGTCGGCGGCTCCGAGGCAGCGGACAGGGAGCGGTAGGCGTCGTCTGGGCCAGCAGGCGAGGCGAATTAGCTACACCAGGCAACGCACCTGCAGTAATGAATCGCAGAGAATGCGAGGTATGCAAATGCACTGAGCAGAGTGCTCCGCATTAAGGCGAACGCACCTAGGCGCCAGCCACACCGAAGTGACGCAGACCGCAGTGGTATGCAAATGCTGGAGATACACGATGCGTGATGAGTTGAACTGCATAACGAAACGCAAACCGTACTGCAGGTCGAACCGCATATCAACACGCAAACCGATCTGTACATATAAACGCACACCGGGCACCACATTGTAATGTACTACAGTTGGTGAAGTCGAACTGCACATCGGCATGTTCAGATCGAGATGTACAACGAACTGCACACCCAATTGCATCTCGGGACCCTCGAACATGAACGTCGGAATGAGCCATACGCATACGATCGGAGCGCAACTGGAACTGCGAATGCCAATCCACTCGGGATGCCGTTCTGGATGCACACGTCGACGTGTAACTTGGCATGCACATCGAATGGTAATCGACGTGAACATCGGTCGCATAATCCAACCATCCCTCTGGGCGTAGGTGGTTTAGAGCGTTTCCTCTGCCACCCCTCCTTCTTCCCCTTCGGGGAGGGGTTTACCCCTCCCCGTGCCCCTCCCCCCCTGGACCTGGACGGGGGGGGGTCGCGAGGTGCTGCCCACTTCCCTGATGGAGGCAATTCCTCTGGGCATCGTTTCTGGATGGGCTGGTGGGGATCCGCGAAGCGTCAACAATTCGTTACCAAAACCCCTCCCCCTTCGTTCTCACACTGCTTCTCTCTGCGTGGGGGTCCCAACGGTTTGGACGTGCGCACCTGCCGCTGTGGCCCACGGCACGCTGAGGCAGGGGCCTTCGTCCCCACCCTCACGCCCCCCGCCCCCTACTGGGGCTCCCGAAGCGCCTCGACGCCCCCCCCCCCTAGTCGGGAGGAGGAGGAGGAGGAGGAGGAGGAGGAAGAGGAGGAAGAGGAGGAGGAGAAGGAGGAGGAGGAGGAGTAACAAGAGGAGGAGGAGGAGGAGGAGGAGGAGGAGGAGGAGGAGGAGGAGGAGTAAGAAGAGGAGGAGGAGGAGGAGGAGGAGACCCACTATTGCCCAGACACGCCGCCTCGGCAGTCAATCTCAGTGTGGCACAACACTGTAGCCCCGACTGCTCACTAGGTCCCCGCTGCGGCCAAGTACGGCCCCACGACGACCACAACAGCCCACCCACTACGTCCCAAGAAGGTTTCAAGAAGACCTCCAGGAGGACCCGAAGATTTCAGCAACCCTGACTCCAACATGTATTCGACTGACGTTCGCGTTCTCGCCCGTTCGGGCGTCCGCCAATCCAATGCGGCCTCATGGGCCTCCCACACGGCCGCAAGACGGCCCCAAGACTACCCAATAGGGCCTCACACCAAGAAGACCCCAAGACGGCCCAAAAGGACCACACGACGGTCCAAGAGATTGCCAAGACGGGCTCACGAGGGCACCGTGCACCAACCAGGTCCCAGCACACCCATCAGACGTATACCCCAGACGACCCAAGAGCGCCCTAAGAGCGCCCCGAGAGGCCCCCCAAGACGCCCCGAGAGACTCCTACGACGCAGACAAGAGGCCTGAGGCCCCCCAAGATGCCTCCCAACAGGCCTCAATGAGGCTTCAAGAGATGATGCAATACAACAATGGGTGGAAGGCAATGGCGACGTAGACGAGCAGACACACCCCGACATGGCACGGACCAACGTGTCACATGTTACTTAAACTTCTGTCAAGGCGAATGAAGAGCCGGCCATCTCCCACCTTGGAAAATCCTCCTCCTCCTCCTCCCCCCAGGGCGGAACGTGTAATACGCGACGGCGTTCCTCAACCTCCTCCGCCCCGTCTTCTCCTCACCCTGCACCCTCGTCCTCCTCCTCGCCCCCCCCCCCCCCCGGCTCCATCTGGGGACGACTTGTGCCACATGTGACGGCCTTCATTCTCCGACTCGTCGCCCCTCTTCTTGCACATCCTCCTGCTCAGCCTTTTCGCTATCCGTCACATCATCCTACATGTCCTTATCACCCACCTCCTAGGAACGGCGGGTATTGAGGAAGTATGGTGGCAAAACTTGCCGCAAGCAGCTGGAACAAACTGGGCAAGGCGGAACATGTGATGAAACTAAGCATGCAGTAACGAAAGCTTCACACGTGGGGGGGGGGGCATAGCCAGCATATTCGCGCGCACGGGATACCTGGGTCATGATGGATAACGCCATGATGACGAAACTCTGGTCGGTTCGTCAGTCACATTGCTGCCTGAATCCAGTTTGCACAGTCTTCAACGCATCATGAGAAAGCTGGAGGGGGAAATTCAATAAGCAAACTGCCCACAAGCCCACATCCAGCCCCACCCTCATGAAATCAACATTGATGAAGTGGTACGCGGCAGGGCGGTCGCTGTCATTGTGTATCTGGATGGTGCGTGTATAAGTCTTTCCGCACAGCACCTCGCCAAAGTTGTGAGACCTCGTTGACAAACGTACCTCCCACGAGAACCCTCTTGTCAAGTATATTACAATCTGGCCAACATGCCCGTGCCCTCAACATGGGGGGAGGGGGGCACTCAAGATGGTCAATGCCACTGCCTGTGCACGCAACCGAAAAAGAAACATGCGCATAATGTAACACACGCTGGCTACGGAGGCCGAACCCACGCGACAAATACACCAAAATCACTACATGCTTGCTGGCGCGAGGTAGTCCCGTGTCCCGACCTCCATCGGTCGACAGAACGCCGTGCAAGTCACCACCAGCGGAGTGCCTCCGGGCGAGGTGATCTGGAACCTCTGGCACGTGTGCTCCTGCAAGGCCGCCAGTCCACCTCCTCCTTCCTATCAATCCCCATCTTCGCAACCGCCGTCTCCCAGGAAAATGACCAGCAACATACAATGATCCGATCATGTAGCTAGTACAGCGTGCCATAAAGTGGACCATGTAGGATGGCAGAGCTAGAGTCTACGAGCGAAGTAATCGGCATCCCCCGTCGGGGGGGGGTGTCCCGGGGTTGGTCGCCACCCAGATACGACTCCCTGAGAGGTGGTCCGGGGGGGGTCCTCGGGGGGGGTCCCCGGGGACCGTCCTGGGGGGGGTCCCGGGAAAGGGGGTCGCCACCCAGATGCGCCTCCCTCCCGGGGGTTCTCAGGTCCCTCAGGAGGGGCCACGAGTACTCGAAGAGGCCCCCAAGACGGTTCAAGAGGGCCCAGCCTCGCCGCACGATCTGTCCAAGACGCCTTCGCGGCCTCCTGTAGGCCTATGAGGCCCGCAAAACACCCCAAGAGGCCTCCAGGAGCGCTTCCCCAAAAGGCCCCCATAGGCATAATTCATGCATTCACCCTCGGCTTTTGCAAGATTTGGGCGCCCTCCCCCCTTCCGCTCTTCCACCCTCTACGACGGCCCAAGAGGCCTTCAAGATGGCCCCAAGACGGCCCAAAGTCTTCCAATACGTTCCCACAAGGGCGCAAGAGGGCCCCCAGACGGCCCGAGACGCCTCCAAGGCAGGCCAAGAGGCACCCACGACGGCACCCAGAGAGAGACCAGACGGGTGACCCGAACGGACATCTGGAGCCCTCGCCCCCGAGAAGTTGCCAGGAGGCCCCAAGAGGCCTCCAAGAGGCCCCACAGTGGCCCCAGGAAGCTCCTGGAGGCCCCCAAGAGGCCCCCAAGAGGCCCCTCACGGATCTCCGAAAACGTCCCCAAACTGCCCACTGGAGGCCCCCGAAGGCGCTCCGAAGAGACCCCGACAAGTATCCCCTCCTTCCCCTGATCCTCACCCTCCTCCTCCTCCTCCTCCTCCTCCTGTTCCTCTGCCACGTCTTTATCGTCCTCCACCTGCTCACTGCTCTTCTCGACCTCCTTCTGCACCAATTCCCCCTCCTCATCCTCCTCCGCATGCTCTTCCTCATCCTCCCCCTCCTGCTCTACTGCGTCCTCCTCCTTTACTGCTCCTCCTGCTCTTCCTCCTCCTCCTCCTCCTCCTCCTCCTCCTCTTCACCCTTTTGCCTCCTCCGTATCCCCCTCTTTCGCATACTGCTCCTGATCATCCTAACTCTCCTGATCTTACTGGGCCCCGGAAGCGGCAGGGCCGTTTTTACCTAACAGCGGAGACTGATAGGTTTCTAGTAGGGTCAAAAGAGAGCATCATGATGCCCCATGGGGGGTCTGGGCGCGCTCCGGGGGAGGATGCCGGGAACTCCTTTTTTAGCAAACAGTAACGCACTTCGTGGTCTTCGAGTTTCCAGAACTCCATTCCTGGGCATGATTTGGAATGCCCGGAGCCAACTGTAGTCCACTTCGTGTTCTTCGAGTTCCCAGAACTCCACTCCTGGGCATGATTTTGAATGCCCTGAGCAAGCTGTAGGCCACTTCGTGGTCTTCGAGTTCCCAGAATTCTATTCCTGGGCATGATTTTGAATGCCAGGAGCCAACTGTAGGCCACTTCGTGTTCTTCGAGTTTCCAGAACTCCATTCCCAGGCCACATTTTGAATGCTGAGGCAGGCTGATGCTGAGACTGGCAGGCTGAGGCTGAGGCAGGCTGAGGCTGAAGCCGAGGCTGAAGGCAGACTGAGGTTGAGGCTGAAGCAGGCTGAGGCTGAGGCTGAGGCAGGCTGAGGCTGAGGCTGAGGCAGGCTGAGGCTGAGGCAGAAGCAGGCTGAGGCTGATGCAGGCTGAGGCTGAGGCAGGCTGAGGCTGAGGCAGGCTGAGGCTGAGGCCGAGGCTGAAGGCAGACTGAGGCTGAGGCTGAAGCAGGCTGAGGCTGAGGCTGAGGCAGAGGCAGGCTGAGGCTGAGGCTGAGGCAGGCTGATGATGAGGCAGGCTGAGGCTGAGGCTGAGGCTGAGGCAGGCTGAGGCTGAGGCAGACTGAGGCTGAGGCCGAGGCTGAAGGCAGACTGAGTCTGATGCTGAAGCAGGCTGAGGCTGAGGCTGAGGCAGGCTGAGGCTGAGGCTTAGGCAGGCTGATGCGGAGGCAGGCTGAGGCTGAGGCTGAGGCTGATGCAGGCTGAGGCTGAGGCAGGCTGAGGCTGAGGCCTGAAGGCAGACTGAGGCTGAGGCTGAAGCAGGCTGAGGCTGAGGCTGAGGCAGGCTGAGGCTGAGGCTGAGGCAGGCTGATGCTGAGGCAGGCTGAGGCTGAGGCTGAGGCTGATGCAGGCTGAGGCTGAGGCAGGCTGAGGCTGAGGCCGAGGCTGAAGGCAGACTGAGGCTGAGGCTGAAGCAGGCTGAGGCTGAGGCAGGCTGAGGCTGAGGCAGGCTGAGGCTGAGGCTGAGGCAGGCTGAGGCTGAGGCAGGCTGAGGCTGAGGCTGAGGCTGATGAAGGCTGAGGCTGAGGCAGGCTGAGGCTGAGGCCGAGGCTGAAGGCAGACTGAGGCTGAGGCTGAAGCAGGCTGAGGCTGAGGCTGAGGCAGGCTGAGGCTGAGGCTGAGGCTGAGGCTGAGGCTGAGGCTGAGGCAGGCTGAGGCTGAGGCTGAGGCTGATGCAGGCTGAGGCTGAGGCAGGCTGAGGCTGAGGCCGAGGCTGAAGGCAGACTGAGGCTGAGGCTGAAGCAGGCTGAGGCTGAGGCTGAGGCAGGCTGAGGCTGAGGCTGAGGCAGGCTGATGCTGAGGCAGGCTGAGGCTGAGGCTGAGGCTGATGCAGGCTGAGGCTGAGGCAGGCTGAGGCTGAGGCCGAGGCTGAAGGCAGACTGAGGCTGAGGCTGAAGCAGGCTGAGGCTGAGGCTGAGGCAGGCTGAGGCTGAGGCTGAGGGCTGAGGCTGAGGCAGGCTGAGGCTGGCTGAGGCTGAGGGCTGAGGCTGAGGCTGAGGCTGAGGCTGAAGGCAGGCTGAGGCTGAGGCTGAGGCTGAGGCAGGCTGAGGCTGAGGCTGAGGCTGAGGGCTGAGGCTGAGGCAGGCTGAGGCTGAGGCCGAGGCTGAAGGCAGACTGAGGCTGAGGCTGAAGCAGGCTGAGGCTGAGGCTGAGGCAGGCTGAGGCTGAGGCAGGCTGAGGCTGAGGCTGAGGCAGGCTGAGGCTGAGGCTGTGACTGCGACTGCCGTTGCCACTGCGACTGTCATCGCGAATGCGACTACGACTGCGAGAACAGCAGAATTCTACAACTGGATTCTCATCTGAATCTTAAGGGGAATGCTTCCAGATATGCTCCTACACATCGCTGTTAGGTTGCTTTGCCGGGATAATTTCTCACAATGTTCGAACAATGCATCTTGACAATGAAAAGGGTACAGAAAACCGCGACCAAAAACGGCAATAAAAAGGCTCTGGGATCGGAACGGGAACCGGCACCAGAAACAAAAATGGCGACGGAACGGGTACCTAAAACGGCGACGGAACCGCCAACAAAAACGGTACAACGGAACCGGTACAAAAACAATCCGATCGTTTCTAGGGCACCCTAACCTTAGGTCGGGCGTGTCCCCTTACAGGGGGATTTTCGACGAAAAAGAAAACATACCCCAAAAATATCCCCAAACAGAAAAAATACTCAAACATAATCCCCAGACTAGTTTTGGACTATGCTTGGATTATTTGTTTGTTTTCCTCGAAAATCCCCCTGTGGGGAGACAGGCCCGACTTAACACTAACCTCCTGATTATCCTCTTCATTATACTCCCCCTCTTCCCCGCGTGCGCTCCCCCCAAGGCTCCGAAACCTGCTCTGCTCCTCTTCCTGCACCTCCTCCTCTCCGTCCTCCGCGTCCTCCTTCTTCTCCTGCGCCTCCGGCTCCCACTCTCCTCGCCCTCCTACTCCCCCCCTTGTCCTCCCCCCGACCCTGCCCCTCATCCTCCTCCGCGTCCTGCTCCTCCCCCTCCTGCTGCTCCACCGCATCCTCCGCCTCATCCTCCTCCTGCTCCTCCTACCCCTCTTCCTCAGCGTCGTCCTCGTCGTCGTCTTCAGGGTCGGCGTCACCGGCCGCACGGCCTTCACAATCTTCGGACGAGGTGACCGGCATCGCTGACCAGTGCATTTTCCAGATGCCACCCCCGCACTCTGTACCCGTGCGGCAGTTGTCTCAATATTTAGGGAATCTGCGCAAGCAATACCTGCTTGCGCTTGCGGGGATGGAGGAGGGGAGAGCCATGCCTAGCCTAGCGTGGGCCACACGTACACACGCACACACAAACACACCTCCCCACCAGCCGACAGAGGGTGAGGAATACTGGGAGTGCGCCATATTCGCTAAGGTTAGGTCGGGCATGTCCTCATACAGGCGGATGTTGGAAGAAGCATACAAGATTATATAAAAAATATGAAATTTGTTCCCGTGACCTTTTTGATTGTTTTTGAATATAGGGACATGCCCGACTTAACACTGAGGGTTTGCCCTACCACGTTTGTTTTCAGGATGGTGCCCCTGCTCGCTGACAAAATCCCGTCGCCACAGACTTTGCGGTGTGACCTTAGGGCTCACAGTCTACCGTCAACACTCCTGCACGGCCTGCAAATCCTCGCTGCCCATGCAATCCTCTTCCCCTTGGCCCGTCGCCACGTGCCCCGCTCGGGGTAGAAACGGACGTAGCAGGAGGGGAGCGGAATGCGAGCCGCCACGGGCCATGGAAAGCGTGACAAACGCATTGCATGCATGCAGGCTTCGCGTTCACGCCCTGCCTCAGACGCTCCAAACCACCCAGCGTGACAATCATAGCTTGATGGTCGACATTATCCCCAGGCGGCAACAAAATACGTCCGACACGGGAAGGCAAGCAAATGTTGAACGTGAATATGTATATACATACATTTACACATTCTACCTATACGACCACCATCCGAGTGATAAGGAGGTTTTTTGGAGGGAGGGGGCAACTGATGACAACTG